ACTTCTGGCCATCTGATCTTAAACAAAGGGGAAAAACTTACATTCAAAAAGGATAGCCTCTTTAACAAATAGTTGGAGAAACACAATATATAAATAAATATCAGCAATTCAAAGTACATTACTATCTCTCATTCCCTACAAAAATCAATTCAATACAAAATGGATCAAGATACTAATTATGGCCTGAAACTGTGAAAATGATTGAGGAAAGCACAGGCAAAGAACCAAAGATGTTTTCATAGGTGATAGCTTTCTGAATAACACTCTAATTGCTCAGCAAGTAGAATCAAGAATGGAGACAAGGGACTAGGAAAGTGGCTCAGTGGTAGAGCGCTTGTCTTGCATGCCTGAGGCCCTGGTTCGATTCCTCAGCACCACATAAGGAAAAAGAAAAAAGCCGGAAGTGGTGCTGTGGCTCAAGAGCTAGAGCGCTAGCCTTGAGCCGAAGAGCTGAGGCACAGTGCCTAGACCCAGAGTTCAGGCCCAAGACCGGACCCAAAAAAAAAAAAAAAAAAGAATTGAAACAAGACTTCTGAATTGTGAAAGAAATGATTACAAGGTGACCAGAGAGACAACAGAATGGAAAAAAAAATGCATTTAAACTGTTAATCAGATAATGGATTAATATACAGTGCATATGAAGATCTCAAAGAATTAAACAGCAAAAAACAATCCAGCTAATCATTCACTCATAAATAATCATTAATTAACCAGCAAACATTGGAAGCGTTAATGAGAAGGAGATGGGGGTAATTATGGCTGAAATACTTTATGTGTGTATAATGAAAAAAAATGGTGAAATGTGTTAAAATTGTTTCAAAAGGGAGAAAGGGAAGATAAGAAAGAATAAAACAGGGTAAATGAGATTAAGGTAGATTGTGGATAAATCACATAATATAAGAACTATCACAATACTAATTCCTTTTTACAAAAAACATGAATAAAAAGGGGAAGACTAAGATTTCATTAAAGGACATGGCACATTACTAGACATAAAAATTAACTGAGGGACTGGGAGGGTTGCTCAGTGGTAGAGCACTTGCCTTGCATGCATGAAGGAGGCCCTGGGTTCGATTCCTCAGCACCACATAAGCAAAAATAAAAGAGCCGGAAGTGGCCCTGTGGCTCAACGTGTAGAGCACTAGCCTTGACCTAAAGAGCTGAGAGACAGCAAGCAGGCCCAGAATTCAGGCCCCACGACCGGACCCAAAAAAAAAAGAAAATAAATAAAAAATAATTGAAAGCTGACTGTCAGTGCTCATGCCTGTAATCCTAGCTGCTTAGGAGGCTGAAATCTGAAGATCACAGTTTGAAACCAGCTCAGACAAGAGTTCATAAGAATCTAATCTCCAATTAACCAAAGAAAGACAGTACTGGAGCTGTGGCTCAAGTAGTAGAGGACTGGCCTTCAGAGAAAAGCTCAGGGACAGTACCCACACCCTGAGTTCAAGCCCTAGGACTAGAAGAAAAAGTTTAACTGTGGGTTGTAAGTTGAGTATATATCCTGTATTATATTGAGAGAGATGTTCCATCTAAATCATTCATTTAGTGTTGTAGGTATCCCTATTTTAAGAATAATGAAACTAAGGGTTGTAAATCATTAACAGTTAGTGTGACAATTGACAACTGGCTGCCAGAGCCTATGTGTTTAATAACTTTATTGTGTTGCTTCCAAAATGAAATGAAGATAATAAAATAAATTTACTTTATGAAGGCATGATGTCAGACACCTGAAATCCAAGAAGTTGTGAGAGCAAGTCAGGACAGTCTCCTCTTTGTCTACATAGGAAGATCAAGGCTTTAAAAAAAGAAAAGGAGGAAGTGGCACTGTGGCTCAAGTGGTAGGGCGCTAGCCTTGAGCTGAAGAGCTGAGGGACAAGTCTCTCCCAGGGCCAGAGTTTAAGACCCATATCCAAAAAAAAAAAAGAAAGAAAAAATGTGAAAAAGAAAATATACAAATAAAGTTCTTAAATATTTTCTTTATTATTTTGTTTGCAATCTAAGGTCAACCATTGGAGGAATCACTGAACTTTTCGGCAGAGTAGGGGCAGTGATGGCGCCTCTCTTCATGACCTTAGCAGTGTATTCTCCCCACCTGCCCTGGATTCTCTATGGAGCCTTCCCCATCCTTTCTGTCCTTGCAGTCCTCTGCCTTCCTGAAACAAGAAATCGACCTCTCCCTAACACTATCCAGGATGTGGAAAACGAGTAAGTAAACACTCCAGTGGGCACCTGACTAGGGAGGGACTGTGTCCTATATCTGTGACCAGGGATATTCTGTGTGTATACAAGTCACTTATTCATTGGCAACCTCATCCCTATCCACAAAACTGTTTGTTATTGTTATTACTCTTTTTAAGTAGTTCTACAAAGGAGTTGCCATTTATCAAGGTATTTTGTGATATGATGAATCTTCATCAATGTCATCCCTTTCAGCATTCTCGCACATCCCTTCCCTCACTCTTCTTAATTTTGTAGGGTGGCATTGCATTCTTGAGTTTGAACACTCCTCTGAGGCTCTCTAGATCACACAAGCTGCCTGTTGGTTTTTGTTTTCTTATTAACATCGATTTGTTATACAGTGATGCATAGTGATCAGACTCACCTTCCTCCACTCTCCCTCCTCCTCTTTTCTCTTCCCAAATCAATCTCATCAGGTTGACACAGGCTGTCTTACACCAGTAAGTTTAGTGGTGGAAAGGTCTAATTCAGTCAAACTTGTACATGTCATATAGTCTGTGCTTTTATGAGAAATACACATTTGCCAGGTGGTGATGGATCATGCCTATAATCCTAGCAATTCAGGAGGCTGAGATATGAGGAACTGAGGATCTGAGTATCGCAGTTCAAAGCCAGCCCAAGCAGAAATGTCCCCATAATAAGGCTCTTGTCTCTAGTTCACCACTCAAACACAGGAAGTGGAGCTGTGACTCAAGATGGTAGAGGGCTAGCCTTCAGCAAAAGAGATCAGGACAGGGGCTGAGAAGGTGGCTCATTGGTAGAGCACTTGTCTTGCATACCTGAGGCCCTGGGTTTGATTCCTCAGCACCACATAAGCAAAAAGAAAAAAACCAGAAATGTTGCTGTGGATCAAGTAGTAGAGCACTAGCTTTGAGCTGAAGAGCTGAAGGACAGTATCCAGGCCCACAGTTCATGACCAGAACATGATTCCCCACCTCCCCAGCCAAAAAAGAAAAAGAAAGATCAGGACAGAACCCAGGCTCTGAGTTCAAGCCCCACAACTGACCCAAGAATATTTAAAAAAGAAAGAAACATACATTGCTTATATTTTCTCAGAAATGAGCTGAAAATTAAATGTCGTCTTCTCAGATCCCTGGTTTTATTACCCATCAGCCCAATGAGTGCTCAATATATTATGGGGAAAGGTGTGAATTTATCACATAGATACAATCCTGAGTATTTCTTCAGGCAAAGGAGAATTGTAGAATTAAAACCAGGCAAAAAACAAACAAATCCTGTTTTTGCATAGTTGAACAAGTTCCTGAATAATTGGATTGTATAAGATTTAACCAAAGTTTCTGCCAAAGGCAATGGAAATTTTGAGGAAGAAGAATTTAAGAAATATGAAACCAACATATAAGGTGCACACCTATGGCTCACACCTATAGTCCTAGTCACTCAGGAGGCTGAAATCTGAGGATCATCATGGTTGGAAGCCAGCCTGGGCAGGAAAATCCAAGAGACCTATTCTCTCCACTTAACCACCACAAATCAAAATGGATATGTGGCTCAAGTGGTAGAGCAGTAGCTTTGAGCACAGCAGCTCAGGTACAGTACCAAGGCCCTGAGTTCAAGCCCCAGGATACACACACCAAACAAACACACACAAACATACACACACACAATTTAAAATGGGGAAAATTTTATGATTCCTTAAATTTTGTGTTCTCCCTTTGATTTTTTTCCAAACACCAATGTCTAAATGACAGTGTTATAAGAAGAAACAGTCAGTACCATCTCCCCAAGCATATGCTGGTGTGAAGCCCTCTAATATTGGGGCACAAAGGTGCCAGGCAGAGACTGTCCTCAGGCATGCAGGAATTAGGTGCTTAATCTACATCTTCTTTGTCTTCTGATTTTGTTTTTGTTTGGATTTTTTTACTTCACAGCAAAACCGGTTCAAGAAAAGTAAAGAAGGAAGATATTTCCATGAAAATCACACAATTTTAAGGAATTCGAGAGAGTTGATCCAAACAAGCCCAAAATAGGGCTCACTCCAGTAGGGATGAAATCATCCAGAAGACAACCAACCAATGCTGATGAGGATGGGGAGGGAGAGGAACTCTCCTGTACTATTAGTGGGACTGTAGACTAGTGCACTCACTATGGAAATCAGTGCAGACATTGAGATCAGCCCAAGCAAAAGTTTGGAAAGACCTCATCATAACTACCAAAAGATAGGCATAGTTGTGCATGCTGTCATATGCTGTCATCCAAGAAGGGGAAGCATTAAAACAACTGGGGTTTAAGCTGGCTGGGGTATAAATGTGAGACCTTATTTAGAAAATAAAGAAAGAAAAATATCTAGGAGTGTGGTTCATATAGTAGAGAGCTTGCATGTCAAGTATGAGGTCATGATTTCAAAATGCACTACAATAAAAGCCCAACAAGGAAGTGGCGCTGTGGCTCAAGTGGTAGAGTGCTCACCTTGAGCTGAAGAGCGCAGGGACAGCGCCCAAGCCCAGAGTTCAAGCACCACGAAAGACTAAAAATAAATAAATAAAATTAAACAGTATCATTTTTTTTAAAAAGCCCAACAAAAACCAAAGCACCAAACACCTTGCACATTGTGTTTACAACACATAAGAGACAACTGACAGAATGGGAGAAAGTCTGGACCAGCTATGCAATAGATAAAGATACCATATCCAGATTATACAAATGAAGCAGAATAGACTCAGGAAAAATGATGGTCAGCTAACAGCAAATACAGGAGATATTCCTTCATGTAGTTCCCTTAAAATTAAGGGAATAAAGCCTTTAGGGGAAATGAGACAGGATAACTTAAGGAAACTGAGTCCTGGTGAAGGAAACTGAGAAATATGGAATTTTAAAACACAGAAGTACCATCTTTGCGTCAGAGGAAAATACCTCCCTTCTTGAGGGATACATTCCTTACCCCAAGAATGAACACTTGTCTGACAGGATGTATGCCTTCCTGAGAAAAGTGCTTCTCCAAATATAAGCCACCTCCTGCCTCAAAATGCAGATAGCCAGGACCTCCTTAACTCAGGATGCAGTCTTACCTGCAAACTCAGAAAGTAAAACCATAACTTTGAAGCCAGACTCTGCCTTTACCGTAGAAATGGCCCAACAGCCCAAGGAGCTGTGTGTGTCTCTCTATGTGGGTGTGTCTCTGTGTGTCTCTCTGTGTGTCCTTGTCTCTCTACATCTGGCTTTGGCTCTTTCTCTCTATGTTTGTCTCATTCTCTCCCTGTGAGAGCATGTACAATCTAACAGAATGTGCCCTTGCCCGTCTGTCTGTCTGCTTTTTTGAATGTTTGTCTGCTTGCCTGCTTCCATAATTACTCAGTAAAGCTGTGCCAAGTTTTCTTGGTGACTTGTCCAGAAATTTTTATTCTGCAATCAAGGTCATAGGTCCTACATTGAAAGGGAATCTTCCCTAACCCTGACCTCCCTCTGGTGACACAAAGAACTCAAAAATATATAAAGTAAAGGAACAAATAATGCCATTTGTAAATGAACAAGTAAACTGAACAAATAATTTTCAGAATAATGTATGATTCAAAGCCCTCAGTCAGAAAAGAAATTCAATTCAAAAATTACACAACGATTCTGTCTCACTCCAGTGGGGTTGAAATCATCAAGAAGACAGACAACCATTGCTGATGAGGATGGGGAGGAGGGCAAACTCTCCTATGCTGTTTGTGGGACTGTAAACAAGTGTGATCACTATGGAAATAAGTACAGAGATTCCCCAACAAACTATAAATGGATCTTATGAACATACTAACTATTCTTGGGCATATATACAAAGACCTGCAAATCAATATACAAGAGATTCCTGTGTATATATATCCATGTTTATTGTAGCTGTATTACCCCCACCTCGGGTCCTCAGCTCTAACCAGACTTGAACTCCTCCCTGCCCTAGTGGTCCTGCCACAGAGCTGGCCACTCCCTTTCTCCACCCAAACCTACCTGCACGCGCGCGCTCGCCCTCACACACACACACACACACACACACACACACACACACACACACACACAAACACAGAGTCAGGAGGTTGAGATCTGTAAGACTAGTTCAGGCCAGGTGCTGGGGGCTTGTTCTTGTAATCCTAGCAACTCACCAGGCTGAAATCTGAGCATGACAGTTTGAAGCCAGCCAAGGAAGGGCAGGAAAGTCCATGAGACTCTTACCTACAATTAATTACAGAAAAAGCCAAAAGTGGCACTATAGCTCAAAGGGTAGAGCAAAAAGAGCCAAAAAAAAGCACTCAGCCTCTGAGTCTAAGGCCAAGACTGGCAAAAACAAACAACAACAATAACAGCAACAAAAATAACCTGTATTTTGAAACTAGCAAACGCAGAAAAGCCCATGAAACTGGGTCCCAGTGTCTCACACCTGCAATCTTAGTGTAATAAATATGCTCTCTAAGAACCACAGGGGTCACAACAATAAGCACAAAAATAAAGAACTGCTCCTCATGGCAAAATTTACTTCTG